AAAAAAAAAAAAAAAAAAAAAAAAAAAAAAAAAAAAAAAAAAAAAGCTGTAAGTATCCACAGTCAAGCATTGGATCACAGCTAGAATTGTACTCAGAAGCAGCACCTGTAAGGTCTGGAAATACAGAGCTGAAGTACTGCAGCACGTGTGTGTTGAGTCTTCCTTCAGGTCAGTGTAAGTAGCGCTGCAGCTCTCCCCACCAGAGGCAGGAAGAACAGTAGTGCTTTACCTTCCTGTCACTTAAGGAGAGTAAAACAGTCCAGACTGAATATTTTTTCAAAACAAGAAGGAACAAGACACACTAGCAGTTTAATGCTAACAGAAAGCCCAGAACTCTTGTCTTTGTGGGGCTGATCCTCAAATAGATATTGCTGTGTCTTTAAGAGAAACCTGGCCAAAAGGCTGCGGAGGGCAGGAGTGAAGCCACTTCTGAAGACCTGACCCAGGGCCAGGAGCCTGCAGCAGGAGCCTGCAACAGGAAACATCTCTGCACTTTGACAGCAGGAGCTGGGGCTCAGGTATGGCCACCCCACAGAGGAGCAGGAGCACTGGGGGCAATGTCACCCAATACCACATTACCAGCACCCGTAAGGGCCCTTGCTGGCTCCGAAAGGTACCACAGYGGAGGTCGTGACATGGTATCACGAGTGTATGTGAGCTGCATTACGTGGCCTCAACAGCTCTGTGTCACTAACTGGAAAAAGAAAATTACCTGTTGCCAGAACAGTATGAGCCATCACTGGCTCATCCTTCCAAGCCACTGAGGTGGTGACAGGGGGCTAATCACAGCCTGTCCCAGTGCCCTGAGATCCAACAGCAGCTCAGCAAAGATGCCCCTGCAGCCCTAGCCAGGCTTTACTGTGCGCTGGCACCGTGTTACCCAGGCTCGTCCTACAATTGGAGCCGGATCACTCCGTTTTTCTCATCAGCTACCAAGCTGCAGCCAGCACAAGAAATGAGCACATTTAGGTGTCAGTGCTGGAGCCTTAAATCCCAAACTCTGCTTGCTGTTTCTCCAGTACGTACTCCTGCTTTGCAGTGAGTCATTGTATCCAGGACCAAGAGGGGCCTTCTGATAGAGCTACAGGGCACTGTGCCCGGCCAGTCCTTCCTTTCCCAGCTGAAGCATGTATAATTTTGAAGGGAGGAAAATAAATAAATCCAGCTTTGGCACCGGTGCTCAGAATGTTGCTCCTGAGCAAACTGGGCCACACAGATGAACCAGACCACAGAAGGAAATTTCCTACCTTAAGGAAATAACAAGGGGAATAGATTAAGGAAGAACAGTGCTTTGTCCTGCCAAAGACGCTCCCATATTAACTTCAGGAAGGGGATTTACAGTCAAACTTGCAAGGATTGACAGCCTTCAGCTAAGTGTAAACGATGAAGTTGAGTTTCCTGGCTTAATGTAAAACCAGAGAGACTGTTTTTAATAACCACCTCCCTTCCACATCCCCAATCTAACCTATGTCTTTCTTTCTCTAACTAGGAAGACAGTGACTTGAAGGATGGGGTGGAGCTGCTCCTGGAGATGTTTCCTGCCTGTACTGTGGGCCAGGCGGAGAAGGCACTGTCCATGGCCCTGGGGAACTTGGAAGAGGCAGTGCAGTTAATTGTGGAAGAGAAGGTGGAAACTGGCCCAGCAGTTGAGTGTGCTAAGGTATCATACTGTGAGCTAGGTGGCAGTAGGCCAAAGAGCAGTGCAGTGCCCAGGTACATATGGATATGCCAGCTGCCTGCTGCAAGCTCAAACTTTGACTTGCTCCCAGCAATGAGCTGGGAAGGTCACCCAGAACCCATCCCCTTTCCCAGCTCTCTGGAGGACAGGCGGTGCCCACAGCCAAGSTAGCACCCAGAGAAGCTGCGTGTCTGGCATCCCTCTTCCCACATGGGTGGCAGTGCTGCATCAGCAACAGCGGGGGAGCAGGACACACACCCCAAGTGTCTTGCTACTCACCTGCCTCCTTTGTCTCCTCCCAGGATTTGGCACGGCCCCGCAGGACACCCAATCACGAGGAGCTAAAACAGGTTATCTTGCAGAAGTAAGTATCCAGCATCAAGGTCCCCTTGTAGGCTTACTCTATTTGCAATAAAGGAGGATGCAGCAGGTCAGGGCAGATGACCAAGGTGAGAATAACAGTATCAACTATAAAGAGCTTAGGCTGCACGATGCTTAGAAAAGATGCCATGAAGCTGATTTGGGTATAGCTGAAGCATCTGAGCATAAGTATAATCCAGGGGTGCAAAAGCAGGTTTGGATTTCCCTGCTTCCTTTTGAGCTATCAAAAGCTATCTGCATCAGCTGGGGCACARCCTGCTAGAGATGTTCAGTAAGTCACAGTGTTGTCAGACGAGGTCCCAATTAAAGGCTCAAGGCACAGATGTCATGCTGCAGCTCAGGTAACACAGGGAACTTGTGACAGGTCACTCATATCTCAGTCCTTGGAGACAGTCCAGAGAAGACTAAAGATTTTGTTAAGGGACTGTCTTTGCAGCAGTAAATCTCAGTCACTGACAGCATGAATTTGGCCTTTCTAAAGAATCCTCTCTAGAAGGGAATTTCAAATTTCCTGGGAATTAAAATTGCTTTAGATTGGTTTAGCTTTATTCACTTCAAAAAGCACTTTAATTCTCAGTAGAAGAACACATACTCTGGTTTAATCGATGTACTTTAAGATCTCAGCTTCCATGAGTGTCCTCCTGTGGGCATGCAGACTCCACATGTCTATCCAGCCATGTTTTTTCCACTATTTTACATCCTCCCCAGTGACAGAAGAAACAGCTGATGGTCTAGGGAAGATAAAATGAGGCAGAATGGCATCCAGACTGAATTAACAATCCCTGGCCTTGCCTGTATTATGTGCAGGCTTACTTCAGAGCAGCATATAAGGGAACAAAAAGTACCACCTGCCATTTATGTTTCTGGGAACTTCACTTTAATGACATTTTGGCAACATCCTGTGCTTTAAACATCACTCAAGCACAGGTACAGAGAGCAGATCACCATAGTTGAATATATACAGGAGCAACTATATTAATTACTGAGRGGAAAAAAAAGAGTCACAGTCAGCTGCACTGTCCCCCTATTAAACCGGCTCCAAAGTCTCAAGAGCAGTAACTCAGCAGTACAGCAAGCAAATATTTGGGCCCTGGTGTGTCAGTCACATCGGGAATGAGGTGATGCTTTTATGAAGTTGCTTTCAGCTCAAACCCACTCCCTAGTGGAGCAGGACACAGAGCGCTAGGGTCACGCCATCTCCTCAGGGCAGGAGCAGCCAGCTCAGCCCCGTGCAGTGCRGATCTTACCCTTGTTTCCTTCAGCTGCCATCACTCAGGCTGAAAAGCAGCAAAGCTGCTCAAATACCAGTCTGGACCTCAGCACCTCTCTTCATTCAACAGGGGCTGCATTGTCTCAGCAGACCAAGCCTTTCAGGCCATCCACAAACACCCATGGATGCTACTCCAGGAGAATCATGGATTTTGCCAGAAGGATGGCAAACTTCTTTCCTGTTTCATACAGGGAGAAACCTTAAGTGCTCCTAGCTGCAATCTAGGCAAGTAGTATACTTTGCACAGCCACAAACCAGCCAATGGAGAGAATACATAGGCTCTGAGCAACTCTAGGCAATGCATGTTGCAGTATTTGCTAAGTGCTTCTTGTGTTTCAGATACATGATGGTGGATAGCGCAGAAGATCAGAAAACACATCGACCAGCTCCACCAAAAGAGGTGAGAAGCGCAGGCCTAGCTCAGCAGCAGCAGTTTTTAAATCTAAAAAGCTGACTGCAAGACCAAAAAGCAGAAGGGCAGTTACGAGGAAGAAACATTCACAGGGCTGCTAGTTACCAGTGGGGAAAGATTAGTTTAGCAAAGAGGTGCTGCAACATCTGCCAGTACTAAACCCCTCCTGACTAGCGTGGCTGCGGCCCCCTCTCACCAAACCGCTACTCTCCCATTTTTGACTCAGACTCCCAGCACACAGGATGGGTAACTCGGCCCATCCCACTGTCTGGCCACCCCGGGAACACTCAGCTTGGCCCCTTTCGCCAGCTGCCTGGCTGCCCAGTCAGTGTCGATGTCTTCTTTTCTCCAGGCTCCCAAGAAGCTGATCCGCTATATCGATAACCAGGTGGTGAGTACGAAGGGAGAGAGATACAAAGACATCAAGAAGCCAGAGAGTGAGGAGATGAAGAGGACTTATATCAGCCTCAAGCCAGCCAGGAAGTACAAGTTCCACTGACCACCAGTCTCTCCTGCTTGCTCTTCAGCCTCCGCCTCTCTGGCCCAGGCAGACAAGGATGGGCACATGGCACTAGGGATGAGAGGAGACTCTTCCATCCTTCACTAACTGGAACTAACCTGGAAGCCAGGACACTGCTTTCAGTTTCCCCAGCTAACAAGGAGGAGCCTTCTCTCTCTGTGAGCTGTCCCTCCACTCCAGAGGAGCACCACAACAGCTGTCTGGGTCATGGGCCTTGCATGGGACATTTTTAGATCTAATATGTGGCTTGTACTTTTGCAACAAGCTTCTTAAAAGTCTGTGTGCACTGTTGCTTTAAGTTGAGTGCCAGTATTAATAAAGATCATGTGAGTTGGTGTGTAGCTCAGCTGGAGAGCACGTGGAGAGGGCTTTACAGACATTGCCTCCAAGCCCTTCTGGGCCAAGGATGGGAGCRGGGCCGCCCTCTCTGACCACTATCTCCATCCTGATCACCACAAGAGGTGGTTGCTGTTTGGTTAACTACCTGGGGGATATAAGGATGGAAACTGGATTCCAGACCAGAGCTGGGCCACCCCCTGCCAGTGCGGTTTGCAGCACTCCATAATCCAATTGGAAACACAGCCAGGACCCCTGCTATTTCTCTCACCCCTGTTGAGTCTGATAGCCACAGTCTTGTGACRGGGAGCAGGATGGAGTTCCAGTAGGCCTGGGCACTACCAAAGTACAAATTAGAATCTAGAAGAAATTGAAAGCAGCTCGTGGCTGCTGCTTATTTGGTGCCTTTCCTCTAGTGAAGCTGCAGCAGGCGCCCGTTGCCCCAGAGCACCAGGGTGCAGCTTCCCCATTGCACTGGCCTGCACCAGCACCCAGGCAGGCAGCGAGGCCAGACACACGCACCCTGCCCGAGCTCAGAGGCACCTGCCCTCCCCAAGAGGAGGGCTGGCAGCTTCTCCCTTCTGCTCCAGCTGGCCTAGCTTGTTCCCAGCAGTTCTTGGGCATGCCCTGCATACCCGCCCTAGGGGACAGCGGCCACAGTCCCCATCAAACACTCTGCTGCTCTCTGGACAGCTGCCATGTAGAGTGTTAAAATACAACAAATGAGTCTTGTCTGTTGGCTGGTCTGGCCGAGGCCTGTTCAGCACCATGGTGTTCCTGCGAGTCCCTCCTCTCTGCGTGTTACTGCAGAGCGAGTGACATTCACAGGAGACACCATCAGGGCGCGCTCACCAACCCCAGTGGCTGCTAAACAGCCCAGAGAGGAGAGCGAGCCCCACTCAGGCCGGCCTCACCAACGGGACCAGCCTCTCTCTGCGGGTCTCAGCAGCAACGGGCTCTGGCATCCTCCTGGGATCCCAGCATCGAATCCATCCCCCCTCCCCAGCAGCAGCAGTTCTAGATCTGGAGGTTAATGAAAGGGGCAAAGCCAACCACGTCCTGCAGGAGAACCAGGGCCCTCTGCAGCGGAGGCTCCACATCCAGCTCCACTCCACGGCCTCGCAGGATGCTCAGGCTGGACTCGGCCACGTTGTGGCAGTGCTTCACCTTCAGCGAGCGCAGCTTGGGACAGTACTCGGCCAGGACTCTGCCAAGAGAGCACACACTGGTTGTCAGGACTCCAAGCACAAAACTCGCCCTCTTCTCTACTCACACCAACCAGTGCTCACCACTGCCAGACACGCAGCGTAACTGGGAGCAGCACCCCAAGAGCCCCAGAGAGAAATTCCAGGGACATGGGCAGCTTAAGCCGGCTGTGTCCCACATGGACCCTCCACAGCACCCCAAGGAATCTGGTGTCAGCAGCAAAAGGCCTCCTGAAAGGCCTGCCAGCAGCTTTTCCCAAAAACGTAGCTCTCATTGCTTCCAACATAAAGAAACTCAACTTCTCTGTCCACGCCTCTTCTTCCTCCCCGCTGCATCCCAGCCACTTCCCACATTGTCCAGTACCTGATAGAGTCATTTTTGACTCGCAGACACCCCGTGAGGTCCAGGTGCTCCAGCTCAGGGCAGCACTTGGCGATCTCCTCCACTGCCCCGTCGCCCACGTTGGCGTTGACGGCCAGCGAGACAGACTTGAGCTTGCCRCACTTCTGCGCCAGGTAGCAGATGGCTTCGTCCTTCAGCTGGCGACAGGCCGTCAGGTCCACGGCCTCGAGCGCCTTGCAGTGGTCAGCGAGGCTGCGCAGGGACAGGCTGTCCACCCACTCGCAGTGAGCCAGCGAGAGGCGGCGCAGGTTGGGGCAGCTCAGCGAGATGGCCACGAGCGCGTGGCGGCTCAGCTGGGCGCAGCCCTTCAGCTGGATCTGCTGCAGGTGGTGGTTCTGCCCGATGACGGGCAGCAGCTCCCGGTCCGTGAGCCAGTCGGAGCAGTTCTGGAGCACCAGCTGATGCAAAACTTCGTTGTCCTTCATCAGGTTAACGAAAGCGGCTCTAGGGATGGCAGGTCCAATCTGCAGGGGGAACCCACATGGAACGAGACACTCAACAGTGGTTCAAATCAACTTGGCTCAGCCTGATCCTCATCCAGAGACTCATCCCCCTCCTCTCTTCCGATGTGGCACCAAGGTGACGAAGGCYGCTCTTCCACAGTTCCTGGACAAAYGCTACCTTAAGGCTCCTCTCCCTACAACATCTAATGCCAAGGCTTCTGCCACTGCCCTCAAGAAGACAGGAACTGCTCCGACACCACACACCACTCACCAGCCCACGCTGTGCCCAAGCCTCTGCCCTCCCCAATCTCCTGGCCTGATCACGCACGTCTCCTCGGAAGCGCAGCCGCTCCTGCACCTCCCGGGCCCGTGCGGACCCTGCCAGGGCTCACGTGGTCTCTCTCTGGAGAGAGGGCCCAGCCAGCCCTCCGGAGAGCCCCGGCAGCCCTGCTGCTGCAGCCGGTGCCCCGGCAGGGCCGGGCGGCGCTCCCGGCACACGCTGCCCTCAGCCTCTTGCACCGACAGACACATTGCTGGCCCCTGAGTCACCTGCTCTCCTCCCTGCACCCGGGTACCCAGCCCGGCTCGCCAGCCTTAACCCAAGCTCCCGAGCACACACCAGCCCCCTGGACAGGGCCACAGGCTCCCCGTCAGCTGGGGAGCGGTGGCACAGCCGAGTCTCCCGGCCCCCGATACCTTGCTGGAGTCAAAGCAGCGCATGTTGGCCAGGAACAGCTGGACRAGGGACTGGAACGCCTTGCTGACCCTCTGCAGGCGCAGGAGCTGCGGCAGCGGCAGGTGGCACAGGACGTGCGGCACCAGGATGTCCTCCCAGGGCAGGTCCAGGAGGCAGCCCCTGGAAGGGGGCACGCTCATCCTCGGCCACGCGGGGCCCGGGCCGGGCTCTGTCCCCGCTCTGTCCCCTACTGCCGGGCACCCCTAGGAGAAGAGCCACAAGGAGACCCTCAGCGCGCGCCTCGGCACGGGCACGGGCACGGGCACGAGCGGGGCTCGCTCCGGCGCCGCCTGCCCGCCGGGCAGCG